GTAAGTTTTGGCTCTACCTCTGTCTTATCTCTTTGCCCGAGCCTCTCAGCAAGTTGGCAGAGAGAATTTTCCCTTTCTTGGGAGGATGGGAAAATGTGGCTCATCAGGCAGGATGGCTGAGGGCCTCACAAACACACACAGGTCACAGGACCTTCTTCTGTGGGACCCTTAGCTGCGCCGAGCTGGGATTTATGCACCATGAAGAGAGAGAGTGCGCTGAGTACTCTGCGTGCGTGTGTGGGGTTTCCGCTTGCCTGTCTGTTGTCTGGAGGGTACGTGTGTCTGTGTCTTTGATGCGTGTGTCATCGTCTTCAAGGCAGCACCTGTGTCCGCAGCTGGGGCTGTGCCTGTGCGTCCTGGGTCCATATCTGTCTCCAAGAATCCCCGTGCCAGGGGCAGGAGCACGGGCCCCTCCACGCCGAGAAAATCCGACGCTCAAATCCAAGTTTGGACAGTAGCCGATCCGTTCACCTTGGACACGCACCAAAGCTTCTGGGCACCTGTTTCTTCCCGGGGGTTATAACGGCACCTACCACCCCAGGTTCTGGCCATCGTTTAAATGAGATGAAAATACACACCCGACACAGGTCAGAATACGTTAACGGTCCTGTCTTTGACTGGGCCTCTTGGAGAACTGTGTCTTCATGGCTGTGACCATGATGTGTGACGCCTCCGTCAAAATAAGAGGTGCTTTAAGGCCCAGCGTGGGTCTCAATGATCTTCAACGACACGCAGGACACAGGATGCCTCACAGCCGCCTCGGGGTCTCGTGCGTCTATCTGTCCTCTTGAGGGGGAATTACATAAACCCATGAACCAGAGGCCTGGTGTCTGATGTGTGCTCCCCCCGCCCCCTGCCAGGGATACCTGGAGGGTGAGTGGGCAGCTGGTGATGGCATAGTGATGACCGCCCCCTCCCCACCCCCGTGGCCACTGCTGGACCTGTGTCTCTCCGCCATCTCAGGCTCCCTCCTTCCTGTCTCAGGCTGCCTCCCTCCTTTCTCCGCTGCCCCCTCCGCAAGCATCAGCCACAGTGCCGGTGCCAGGCACGCCCGTGTGGCTTTTAATGGGCCAGCTGGGGAGGGGCAGGAGCACTGTCCAGTCTGTAGCTATAGCTTCCCAGCAGCACGCGTGTGCATGTGTGCGTGTGTGTGTGCGCGTGTGTCTCTGTGTTGGGACGCGTGAGTGATGTCTCTCTGTACGAGGTCCCTCTGTGTTATGGTGAGTACATGCGTCTGTCCCTTGTGTGACGCGCCTGGTGCCTGGGCTCTGCTCTCCTCCCCCCAGCAGTCCCAGTTACATAAGCGGCTAAGCTGGACTCAGGCCTGGGCTGCGGGCTCCTCCTGCTGGCAGCCTCCAGAACTCCCAGTCTGGGGAGGGGCGCGCATGGAAGAATCTGGTTCTCCCAGGACCTCAGCCCCACGGGAAACACCAGCCCAGCCCTCAACACCTACCTGCTCCAGCTCCTGCCCAGCCCCAAGCCCTAGGGTGTCCTCAACAACCTGAGTGTCCCCTCGCATAACACTCATACTGGGGGCTTGGTAATTACTTGCTTACGGGGTGTATCCCTGGCACGATGGTATGTTCCCTCAAGGCAGGGGACCATGCGGGCCATGCTGACCACATCATCTCCAGTGTCCAGTACCAGGCCTGGCCTAATCAGTGTTTGCTGAATGACGGAGTTTACAGGATGAAGCAGCTTTGGAGGAGAGACAATGGGATGTGGGAAGATTTGGGGCTCTGGGGACAGATGGGCCTGAGCTCATCAGACACTGGCCACTTAAAAGCTATGTGGCATTGGAGAAAATGTTTAAGTCTCTGAACCTTCAGTTTCTCATCTGTTAAATGACACCATCTGACAAGATACACTGTAAAGACTAAAAATAATGTCCAAAAGGGCCTTACCGTGTTCGTTTCCCATAATTTATGGCATCTACTGGGATGAGGACGGATGGCAATGTCGCCCATCTCTCAAGCATCAGGAAGCAGAAGTCTGCTTTGCTTCCAAATAAAGGGACAGTGGTTTTTCTCCCAAGCTGCCCTACACCTTTCCACCTTCACACAGCTCAGTCTGCCCTGTGGATCAATTTAGGTGAAGTGGATCTGGAGCAATTGGGCTGTGAACATGTGGAAGTGGGAGGAAGGAATCCTGTTGCCCTGTGCCCGGGCCAGTCCTGGGAGCACTGGGAGGGCCGTCCTTTGCCAGAAGGAGCGCTCGGCTTCAGAGTTTCTCTGGTCTCTGAATGTGGCTTCCAACGAGCCCTTACTTTGCGCCAGGCACTGGCTGCATCCAAAGAAGATCTGGTCTGGGCTCTGCCACTTTTCCTCTTGAAGCCTCAGTTTCCTTCTCTGCAAAAGGGGGAGGGGAGGGAATGAGACGTTGTGAGGAGCAGCCTGGGCAGGTAGGGGTTAGAGGGTGAAGGTGCTAGAGGAGCTCTGGGGTCACGTCCCAGGGACCGCCCCTTTGACAGACGGCTTTGTAGACCTGGCAGCCCCTTCTCCCTCTGGCCCCACCCTTCCTGCGGTTCCCCACTCCCCACCTTCTCCGGTCGTCGCACCTCCAGGCCAGGCCCCACTCTCCCCAGTGCCGGGGATGTCCGTCTCTTCCCACGGGAAATCCACTCCCTCACCTATCGCTTCGCTGCTCCTAAGGCTAAACAGAACCCCTCAGGAAGCGGTTTAAAGAATCATTCAAAACCACAAACAAACCCCATTACACCCCGTCTCCTATTCCGTGTTACCCCGTGCCAAGAACCTCACGGACATTATCTCAGTTAATCGTCACAGAAGCTCTTTGGGGCGGATGTCATCCCACCTTCACGTGCCCACGAGGAAGCGGGTGGAAGGGAGTTAGCCGACTTGGGGGATGTCCAACCAACACGCCCAGACGGCGCCCAGACGGCGCCCTCCCCTGCCCCACTCCCTCTGGTTCTGCCGGAGGGGCTGACCAACAGGTCTCCGGGGACTTCGCGAGGCCCAGCGGCGCCCTTGAGCCCAGGCCCTGGCATCCCGGAACTCCTGGGTCCCGCCCACGGCCACTCGAGCAGGGCTGGCGGCGAGGCCTAGCGGCCCCGGGCAAACACCTGGACCCTAATGGCGTGGCCGATCCCCTGACCGACCCCGAGGCCCCTGCACCCACGTCTCAGAGGGAAAGGCCGGCAGACGCAGGGTGGGGGCGGGCGGCTGGGTAGAGTCTGGGCCGAGCCCAGGTGCCGCCCCTTTGCGTCGGCCGGAGTCCGGGCGCAGCGGAGACCGAAGTTGGGGCGGGTCCGGGCCAGGGTCCGTGGTCGGATCGCGGCTGAAGCCAAGGTTGGTGCGGAGCCCGGACCGAGGTGGGCGGACCAGGGCTGGGGTCTGGGCAGGCCCGGGGTCGGGGCTTGTCGGGGCCGGGGTCCCGGGTCAGATCGGATCCGGGATCCGGGTCCCGGGGCCCAGGGTCGAGGAGCTGGGTCTGAACCACTCCGGGGTCGGGGAGCGGGGCGGAAACAGAGCAGAGGTCAGAGTGGGTCCGTGGTGCTGGGGGTGGAGGAGGGGTGCCTGGGCGGGGCTGGGACGGAGACCGGGGCGGGGCGGGGCGGAGCCTGGGCGCCGGGGCGGGGCCAGGGTCAGGCGGGGCGGCGGGGCGGCGGGGCGGCGGGGCGGCGGGGCGGGGCGGGGCTTGGGCGGGGCTTGGGTGGGGCGGGGCGCGAACGGTCTCCCGAGTCTCCGCGGAAGGAGGGAAAGCGGTAGCAAGAGGAGGGGGAAGGGCGGGGGACTCGGAAGCTCCCGCGCCGCTCGCCTAGGCTCGGTGCACTCACGCCTTGCTGCTGCTCGGCTTCGTGCCCCCTACCCGGGCATGCGCCCCCCCAGTTCCCATCCACCCAGAGCCCGCGCCGACCCCCGGAGCCTCCCCAAAGCCGGCCGCGCAGGATGGGCGCCCTCCGTCCCTCGCCGCGGCTGCCGCCTCCGCTGCTGCTGCTAATGCTGGGTAAGCCGGTCCCCGTCCCGGCCCCCCACCCCACCGGCAGGTGCCTGCCTCCCGGCGCCCAGCCCGGCCCGCCCCCCCCCCGGCGTTTCGGAGCCCCTGGCACCCGCTACTCCGTCAGGGGCGCCCCGAGCCTCCCCGGGCTCAGCGCCCAGCTGTCCTGAGTGGCTGCCCGCGGAGCCAGCCCCCAGCCCTAGGCCCCCGGCTGGGGCCCAGCGAGGACCCACCGAGGTGCCACCTCCAGGCCGCGGGGCCAGCCCCACTTCTCAGCCGCCATACTCAGGTCCGGGGGTCGCTGCGCCCAAATGCTGCGACTCCCTGCGCCCCACACTCAGCTTGAGGCCCAGCGCTGGGTGCCCGCCCTGCGTGGGCAGTGCTAGCCCGGCTTCGTAATTGCCCGGAGTTGGCTGGAGGCCCAGGGGCTGGTTCTGCCCCTGATCTTTGAAGTTCAGTCTCCCCAAACGGTTCCCCTCCCCGACTTTTATCTTCTGAGGTTTGGGGCAGTTACCCCTGTTACCCCCATCTCCACCCTGGGCAGGGTCTCCCTTTGCCTACTTTCCCTCTCTGGGGTCGCACTGGGCTCTGTAGCCTCCCACCGCTCATCACACTCCCTTGGTCCCTGCTTCCCTACCCCAGGAGAAGCCAGGCTCCATGGTAACTGATGCCTGATCTCCAAGCACCTTGTGTCTGAGGGTGGGGGGTATTCCTGGTGAGGTGTTCTGGCCGCAGCTGCGGGATGCAGGAGAGTCCCTGACCACGCAGTGGCTTTTGGTCTGGACTGGAGGGTTCCCTTCAGGGGTGGTCTGGGGAGGAGCATGGCTTCGAGACAGGGAGGCCACCTGTGCAGATGTTTGGGAGGCTGAAGCCCTTGAAATAAGAGTGCAGAGTGGGGCACCCGGATTCACAGCTGCCATCAGCAAGGTGCAGGCTGACGTAGCCCCAGCAGCCTGTTTCCAGAGCAGAGCTCCCCAGCAGCGCCAAGCAGAGCCTCCGCCACTGCCCACCCCCCCAGCTCCATAGGTCCCTGGGCTCTGGGGAACTAGAACGAGGCCTCTCCCTGGGGCCCTGGGTGGGAGGCAGGAGGACGTTGCTGTGGGGCCCGGTTGCCTAGCAAGTGGCTGCTGTCCCCAGTGGGCAGCGTGGAGTGGAGGAGCCCCAGGGGTGGGGAAGTGCGGTGTCTGCGAAGAGTTGCGGAGAGCTGCGGGCCCACTGCGTGCAGGCGCTAGCCTTCATTCTGAAGAGGAGGAAGAGAAAGTGGTTTGCTCCAGAGAGCCCACCTTGTGAGCGTGGTTGGGGCTTGGCTTTGAACTCAGATCCGTCTGACTGCAGAGCAGGTCTCTGCCCCGCCTTCTCTCTCTGGCTGGGGAGAGAGCTGGCTGGCAGCTGGTTTCCTAAGGCGGCCTGGCTGGCCAACTTTCCCATGGGGATCTCCAGGCCTCAGCAGCTGTGGAGCCGGGAAGGTGGGAGGGGGCCCTTCTGAGCAGAGTCTGCCCGGAGGCCCAAAGGTGTCAGCGCCACTGTCTCCACCATCACTGAGATTATGAAATGCCCTGGGGCAGGGCCCTCCTGAGTCACACACTCACTCGCCCTTGGAATAGATACCTGCCTGGGAGAGGAAGGGACGTGTCAGTACGGCTGGGGAAGGGGCTGGGTCCCAACCTCTTGAGGCCCACCACGTGCTTTAACCAGACGACAGGTGCCTTCCTCCTCACTGGACTCAGCCACAGAAAGAAGGGGCTAAGAGCCCAGCTCAGGTGGGAAGGGGAGCACTTCTGGAGGGGCTGGAGGACAGAGTTTGACCACAGACTTCGTGTTTTCCTCCAGCTTCGCAGAAAGTGAGTATGCCCTAGGTATGCCCCCGGGAGTGACAGACGTTCTGGTTGGTGAGGTCAGTGCCCTTGGGCCTCCCCTGGGAGTTTCCCTGTCTTCCTCCCTGGACTGTCCCTCTGCAGGGGGCTGCGGAAGCCATCTAAGGACAATAGGATCTTGGTCAAGACATTATTCTTCTCTTCCCTTACATTTCTCATCTGTAAAATGGAGGCAGGAGGCTGACGCAGTCCTCTGTCCTATGGTGTGGCGTTCTGGGATCTTATCCCGTGGGGCTCTGGAAGGATGGAAGGAGAGAAGGAAGAAGCAGGGCCCTCCAGGGGAGTCGGGAGTATCTGCTGGGGTGGGATGAAGAGGAGAATTTTGGAGAGAAAGATGGGAAGGGACAGCTGGAGTCTGTGCCTCTCAACAGAGAGGGAACCTTATATAAGTGACCTAAGTGACCACACACAAAATGCAAATGAAGGCTTTTGTCAGGGAGTTGGGAGGGGGTGCTGTGCATCTGCGGGGCCAGTGGAGAGGATCGGCAGGCCCTGGGGGGAGGGGTGGGGCTCTTCTGCCCCCAGAGGCCAGGGCAGAGGCTGGTTCTTGCCCCACAAGCCTCATCTGCCTCGGCAGGGCAGCCCGGTGGGGTGGGAGCCTCAGTGAGCTCATGGACAGCTGGAGGGGGGAGGGCATTGTGTGGTGCGAACTGGCTGGGTCTGTGCCCTGTCCTGCTCGGGCCACTGGCTCCATTGTCTGGAGTCCCCTGGTCCAGGTGACACAGCTGAGCCAACCCGCCCTTCTGTGCAAGATTTTGCCAGCTCCCCTCAAACACAGAAGAGGGACATGGGGTCTCAGAATCCCTTAGCTGGAAGGCCCCACTGACTGGCTGGACCCAGTGGGAGTGGGGAGATATGGGAGGAAGCCTAGGTACAGCTGGGATCAAGGAGGGAGAGCAGACGGGCCTCTTTCTGCCAGAAGTGGGATGTTTCCGGGTTCTGAGGCAAAGCCGGGCCTATAACCTGCTTGAGATCCTCAGGGCAGGGCCCCCGCTGGGTCCCCACCTTCCTCTGGTTTACTGTCCTTTATCGGGCGGGGGTCCAGAGCGGTGCTGGCAGCGGGAGAGGCAGTGGGGACCCCGGCATCGCCAGCTTGTCCTGCCCTTCCCTACAGGAGTGCAGTGCCTCGCCCGGGAGGTGCTGGTCCCCAAGGGGCCGCTGTACCGAGTAGCTGGCACAGCCGTCTCCATCTCCTGCAACGTGAGCAGCTACGACGGCCCTGTCCAGCAGGACTTTGAGTGGTTCCTCTACCGGCCCGAGGCGCCCGAGGCGGCACTGGGCATCGTCAGTACCAGGGACCCCCGGTTCTCGTATGCAGTCTTCGGGCCCCGCGTGGCGGCCGGCGAGGTGCAGGTGCAGCGTCTGCAGGGGGACGCCGTGGTGCTCCGGATCGCCCGCCTCCAGGCCCAGGACGCGGGCGTTTACGAGTGCTACACGCCGTCCACCGACGCCCGCTACCTGGGCAGCTACAGCGGCAAGGTGGAGCTGAGAGGTAGGGCCTGGGCTGGGCACTGGCCCATCCGCCCAAAGGGCACAGAGTCGGGGCCCGGAGGGACCTACCTAACTGCCCCTCAGGTGTTGTGGCTGAGGAAGCCGAGGTCCAGCGGCTTGCGGGGCTCGCACAAAATCACCCACCCGGTTAGTGGCCATTCTGGGACTCGAACCAAGATCTCTTCTTGGCAACTCATCGGCCTTCCTCCTCTGTGGAGCTGCCTCCCGGGAAAGGGGGAGCCCATCCCCTGCCCTCCCTGCTGGGGAGAGCCCAGAAGGGACTCTGTTCCTAGAGATTCCGGGATGCGAGGGGGTGGGGTGCGGCAGGGGGCGAAGTGGAGGTAGCTTCAGAGGAGTGGGACCATGTGACATTCTTGCTCTCTTTCGTTTCTTTGTCTTCTGAGAAGGAAGACAGAGCCGCTTCTCTGCGGTCCTGATGGGGGTTAGTTCTAAACGTAGGGGTGAGTGGGCAAGGGGCTGGGCTGTGAGCTTCAGCGAGTACTTATTGAGCGCCTGTTGTGTGCCCAGCACTGTGCCCGGCACCAGGGGGTCACGGAAGAAACAGTACGGGACGAACTCGGCCCGAGAGGAGCTAACTGCTGTCCCTTTAGGGGGACAGGTTGTACACCGGGAACGGTGACGAGGGCCACCAGCTCCCAGCCCTCCCTCACTCCAGCTGTTCTCTCCAGTTCTTCCAGATGCCCTGCAGGTGTCTGCTGCCCCCCCAGGTCCCCGAGGCCGCCAAGCCCCAATTTCACCCCCTCGCCTGACCGTGCACGAGGGGCAGGAGGTGGCGCTGGGCTGCCTGGCACAGACGAGCACGCAGAAGCACACGCACCTAGCTGTGTCCTTCGGGAGAGCCGTGCCTGAGGTGCCAGTGGGGCGAGCAACTCTGCAGGAAGTGGTGGGGCTCCGGCCAGACTTGGCCGTGGAGGCCGGGGCTCCCTATGCCCAGCGGCTGGCTGCCGGGGAGCTGCGGCTGGCCAAGGAGGGGGCTGAGCAGTACCGCATGGTGCTGGGGGGTGCCCAGGCAGAGGACGCGGGCACCTACCACTGCACAGCGGCCGAGTGGATTCAGGACCCTGACGGCAGCTGGGCCCAGATTGCCGAGAAGAGGGCGATCCTGGCCCACGTGGACGTGCAGACGCTGTGTGAGTGCTGCGCATCCTACGGTGGGAGCCGGGAGCCATGTGGCCGAGGGGGGCACCGTGGCCGAGGAGGGGCACCGATGGTCACTGCCTGCCTCCAGGGAGCCCATCTTCCCCGAGTGAGCGGGTCCTGTTGACATCACTTCCCTCCCCCGGCGGGTTTTCTCTGCTCAGGACTTGGCTGTGGAGACAGGAGGGCCATGGCTGGCAGGGGAGAGGTCCTGGGTGGTGGGGATGGCTGTACCCCGTGAGGGGCAGACAGGCCACCCCGCGGTGCTGCTGCAGAGGAAGGAACTACAGCTGGAGAGTCGGGGTTCTGTGCTCCCCTCCTGCCTCCATGACCCCCTCCCTGTCCTGTGTTTTAGCCAGCCAGCTGGCGGTGGCTGTGGGGCCCGGAGAACGTCGGATCGGCCCAGGGGAGCCCTTGGAACTGCTGTGCAACGTGTCAGGGGCCCTGCCTCCGCCGGGCCGCCACGCCGCGTACTCTGTGGGCTGGGAGATGGCACCCGCGGGGGCCCCGGGGCCTGGCCGCCTGGTAGCCCAGCTGGACACAGAGGGTGTGGGCAGCCTGGGCCCGGGCTATGAGGGCCGGCACATTGCCATGGAGAAGGTGGCGTCGAGAACCTACCGCCTGCGGCTGGCGGCCGCCAGCCCGGGGGATGCCGGCACCTACCGCTGTCTCGCCAAGGCCTACGTCCGAGGGGCTGGGGCTCGGCTTCGGGAAGCCGCCAGTGCCCGCTCCCGGCCGCTCCCCGTGCACGTGCGGGAGGAAGGTGAGGGGCTGGCTGGGCCTCCACTGGGTTCAGGGCTTGGGGAAGGAAGCTTTCCCTTTTGTTTCGGGGCGTCTCCCCTCCCTGCATCAACGGCCACCGGGCTTCCCTCTCGCACTCCTCTTCCTCGGGAGGCGGGAGCGGTCCCAGCCCCGTGCCGCACTGATGCCGCGTCCGTGTTCCGCAGGGGTGGTGCTGGAGGCCGTGGCCTGGCTGGCAGGGGGCACCGTGTACCGCGGCGAGACGGCTTCCCTGCTCTGCAACATTTCGGTGCGGGGCGGCCCCCCAGGGCTGCGGCTGGCGGCCAGCTGGTGGGTGGAGCGGCCCGAGGCCGGGGAGCTGAGCTCTGGCCCTGCCCAGCTGGTGGGCGGCATGGGCCAGGACGGTGTGGCAGAGCTGGGCGTCCGGCCCGGAGGAGGGCCCGTCAGCGTGGAGTTGGTGGGGCCCCGGAGCCATCGGCTGCGCCTGCATGGCCTGGGGCCCGAGGATGAAGGCGTGTACCACTGTGCCCCCAGCGCCTGGGTGCGGCATGCCGACTACAGCTGGTACCAGGCCGCCAGTGCCCGCTCGGGGCCCGTCACGGTGTACCCCTACACGCATGGTGAGTGGCCCCTGCCCACCCCCACCCCTGGTTTCCGCCCCCCATCCCCATTCAGCCCTTCTTTTGCCCTGTCCTGTTCGCACCTCTCCTGCTCCTATCCCCCTTCCTCCTCCACGGCACTCCATCCCAAGGGTCTCGGAAGCCCACCTTCCGCTCTTTCTGGCACCCGCATCCCCACTGACTGGAGTCAGGATGGAGGGGGCAGGGGCAGGCTGTCGGTGAATGGGGGACGCAGGTCCCACAGCCCGCTAGAGAAGGCGTGTGGGAGCAGGCGTGGCAGTGGATGCCGGGCAGCGGCCCTACCCCAGGCTGAACAGAGCCATCCACTCTCACCCAGCCCTGGACACCCTGTTTGTGCCCCTGCTGGTGGGTGCTGGGGTCGCCCTAGTCACCGGCGCCACCATCCTTGGCACCATCACCTGCTGCTTCATGAAGAGGCTGCGAAAACGGTGATCCCTCGCTCCCCAGGTGAGAGGAGAGAACCCCAACCTCATCGTCTCTCCCCTGCCCCCAGGCCCGAGGCAAGCTGCCCCTCCCACCCTACCTGGGGGAGGAGCAGACATGGGGGACTCCGTCCTCAGTGCACCCCACACTGTCTCTCCAGTTCTCACAGGTGTCGACTGTCTTCCAGCCCAGCTCCAAGACCACCTCTGGTTGCCTGGCTACCCATCTCCCTCTGTCCCCCTTCCTTTAATTTATTTGATCTCCCCCACCCAGAGTGGGGCACATGGCCTGATCCCCCACTCCTCCCTTCCCAACCCCTCCCTCTGGGCTTCTGTTCTCCATCTCATGCCCAGCCCATAGGGAGGCCATTCCCTGTCCCAGAATTAGTTTTTCTAAAATGTGAATAAACTTATTTTATAAAACTCAGGGCTAGCTGTGTCTTCCCTGCCCCGGGGCTGAGGTGTGTGGCCGGGCGGTAGTTGCGGGGTTGACAACCTAGTCTGCATGACCCAGCCCTCCCTTCCCACTGCAAATACCATCTGGCCTCTGTGGGCCGTGCCACCCACCGCAGGAGGGGACACTTGGGTCCCATCTGCTGCCTGAGCAGTTGGTGCCTTGCCAATCCCTGTTGGGACTCCAGCTTGGGGAGGGGAGCACAGAGAGGGGGTGAGTTCACTGAGCCCGGCCCCCTCTCCCAGCCCTTTTCCATGCCTCTTGCATGTGGCCGGGCCGGGGGCTCCAGGTGGCGTCTTTCCCGCTCCCCACACCACTCCGCCTTCTCCTTGGCCCTCCTCCTCCTGGACCTGACTCCTCCCAGGCCCGGGGGCCTCAGCTTTTTCTTCATTAGATCTTTGTTATTCTGTCTGACCCCCAAGGAAAGAAGCCTCAGAGCACGACCCCCTGGGTGGCAGCGAGGACAGCAGTCAGGGGAGGGCCCGTTTGTCCACAGAGCCCCCGCATACGTGCCCACACCCCCCACAGCCGGCATGTGCCCCCCAGGTCTTGGCGCCCCTCCCCTCCAGTGCCCCAGGGGCCCCCTGAATGCATCATTGCCTCACGATTCTCTGATCTGAGAACTCGTGGTTGCTCTGCTCCTTAAGGGGCACCCGGTTTACCTCTTTTAATTCAGTTATTTAAACATTTATTGAGCATTACTAGTGCGCTAAGTGTAATTTTTACAGAAGGGAAACTGAGGCCCAGAGCAGTGGTGTAACTTGCCCAGAGTCCTGGAGCTAATTAGCGACAGCGTCAGGAGCACACCCGAGGGCTCCCGCCTTCTCGCACTGTACACAGTGGAGCCCTGAGCGGTACCTGAGCGGCAGGGCTGCCAACAGCCCCCTCCTGTCCAGACTCACCTGTTCCACCGAATTAAACCCAATGACCCTGTCCTACACCACTTGTTCTCGAGGGAACAGCCGAGGCCAGGGTCCAGGACCTCATCTTTGACTGGCAGTGACTCAGGTAGCCCTGTGACCTGAGGCAGAGCTGTTTCTCTGGTGAACCCATGCCGGCAGCTCTCTCTGACCCTCTCCCGCTTGCAGGAGGCCCCGGGACCCACAGGACCTTGGCCTCCCCATCTGGAAGGGAGCCGACTGGGCTGCTTTTCCCCCAGGGGCTCCGTCTTTTCTTAAAGCACAGGGGCAGGGTGTGGCCAGGACCAAGGAGAGGAGGTCACTGCCTGGCTGTGCCGTGGGAGTAAGCGCTTGCCTGGACCGACCCTTTTCTCTCAGGAGGCCAGCCTCAGGCCCCCTCCACCTCGGTCTGTCCCAGCCTGTCCTGGCTCTCCCCTCCCCATCCTGGAGGGCCGCCCCTGGTGATTCCGATGACTGGGAAGGGGTGGAGGTGGGACGGGAACCGTGTCTCTGGGGCCTGCGGCCCCAGCTGGGCAGACAACAGGCCGCAGACACATCCCGATGTTTGGCCTCCTTGCTTCTGCCTCACATCGTCACCCACATTCAATCCCGCCTCTTAAGTCCTACGAGGGCCTCACTCTCGGGTCGCAATGGCCTGTCCTGCTCCAGCCCCAGCCCCCAGGAACCCCTCGGGGGTTCCCTATCTCCCCTGTTCATCTTCCCCGAACACCATCCCCTGCTTATCACCTGAGTTTTCCCCTGATGGCTGCATTCCCAGGCCCAGAGTTTAACTTGTCAGCCTGGGCTTCAGGGTCCCCTTTCCCACCCACAGTGATTTATAGTTCCGTCTCCGCCCCCCCCCCCCCCCCCCCCCCCCCCGCCCCTTTCCGTCCCGCCCCCCCCCCCCCCCCCCCCCCCCGTGTCCTCGGTTTCTCCTCAGCAATCCCAGCCCCCCTCCGCTCCCCTCAGCTACTGCCCAGTTTCTCCGCTCCCTCTCAGCTTCTCCTCCGTCCCCATCAGCTACTCCTGATACAATTCCCAAGTCTTCTGTGTAGTGCCGTGGTTCTCCAAGTGCGGCCCCCAGTCTAGCAGCGTCAGCATGACCTGGGAACTTGCTGGAAAGGCCAATTTCTGATCTCTACCCCAGACCTACTGAGTCAGGAACTCTGGGAGTGGGGCCCAGCGGTCTGTGCTTTCGCAAGCCACCCAGGTGACTGACGCACACTCCGGTTTGGTAACCGCCGGCTTACTCATTCTCCCTAGATTTCCCATCACCAAGCCCTCTGCCCTGTGCTCCGAGAGAGGGCTCGGGCTCAGTCCGGACCATACCTTGTCCAGTTGCCACAGGGGCTGACTTCTCTGCTTCCCTGGGCGCACTGCGCTCTGAGGAGAGGGAGCAGACCTCTGATGCCCACCCCGCCTTCGTGGGGTCCGTGCTCTGTACTTGGTGTGCCCCAGGGAATTCCGGGAATGCCCTGTCACTGTGCCCCAAGACAAATTCTTCTTTTTTCCGGCGGGCCCCTGTGTCCTAGGTCTAGCGAACTCACTTTCCGAATCTTCTCCTAACCCTTCCTGCTCCCCAGAATGTCCCCACCCTCTGCCTCAGAGGCGCTATTGAGATCTCATTCGCTCTCAGAAAATAGCTGTCCCTGGTTCTCCTTTTCTCCTTTCCAGGCCCTGCTGGGGGGGTGGGGGTTGGGCGCTGCCTGTTTTCCTGCACCAAGGGCAAGGTCATTCACACCCCGCTGAGCCACGCCTTCAGGGTCCATCCTCCTGCTCCCACCGTCACCATGGTGACCCTCATCTCTGCCCACCTACCATCTAGCCTCCTCTCCTCTGGGTCAGCTCGGCCACTGTGTCCAGTGAGACAGGTGTGCCATACACAGGGAGGCTGGCCGAGGAGATGAGTGGGGACTAAAATCTAGCCCGCGCTCTGCTCCCCAAGCCGTGCGCGCTGGTTTGGGGTGGCATCGGCCTGGAGGTAAAGGGTGCCTTTTGAGAACTCGCAAGTCCCTGCTCTCTGGGTTAGCAGCAGCCCGAGTGCACCACCTCTGTCCGCCAGTTTACGGAGCCACCAGCGGCCCTCACTCTGCTACCACCTCCCCATGTGGCCCACGGCAGTCCACCCTTCGCTCCATCCATCCACCCCTGAACAGACGTGAAGGACAAACACAGGCTGGCACGTTCCGCCCGTCCCCACCCTCCACAAAATCAGACGCCCTCCCTTCTACTGGATTCTAGGCTTAAGATTCCGAGGGGGCTCCCCAGCTTCAGCACATGCCCAGGGCTCTTGCCTGCCTCCTTCTCGGCCTCTGACATCCAGCTCCCAGGTACCAGTGTCTGGCCCTGCCACAGGGGTCTGGAGGGAACGGGTCACACCTTGGACTCACTCTCTGGGGGCGGCAGGCAGCCGTTCTGCTCCTTGTCAGCGCCAGCCTCTGCCCCCGCCCCCTCCCCGGCCCCCTCCTCCTCCACCTTCTCATCCAGCCGGCTGGGGATGGACCAGTACAGGTGGGCGTCGAGGCGGGCAGCGGCTTCGGCCAGCTCCCGGGCGCTGCACGAGGGCGTGGGCACCTCAAAGGTCTGGTGGAAGCTGGCATAGTCCACCTCATAGAAGCCATCCTCCAGGGTGAGCACTGACGTGAAGCGGTGGCCCCACAGAACCTCGTCCACGAGGTAGGAACTCCGAGCTTGGCAAGTCATTCCTGGGGGGAGGGGCACGGGTCAGGGGGGATCCCAGCCCCGGGCTTCCCTCTCCTGGCTCTCGTTCCACAACCTGATTCCCACATCGCTCCCTCTCTCCCTCCGCCAGGGCCTCCCACGGCCGCTTTGGGTCCAACCTGTCTTTTTCCCCTTCTCAACTCCTATACCTGCCCAGCTCTCTCTCTTGGGTGTGGGTCCTAACTCAGCCTCCAGCCCATGCTCTCCTCTCCTCTTTGCAGGGGATGCCAATCAGAGAAGCTGAACCTTGAAACTGACCTTAGGGATCGTCTAATCCAACTTCCCTTTCCACACGGGGCTTCCTACCGGCGCATCCCCACGACTGGGCATCGAGCTGGTGCTTATCACCACCTCCTGGGTGGGACACCTCTCATCGGTTGTTCTTAGTAAGAGCTCAGATCTGCCTCCCCAGGATTGCCACCTTTGCTTTTGCTCCCCTGCCTTTTGACACCCATTCGGGAACCTCGGGGCCCGTTGTGTCTTCTCCTCTTCCGGGTGAACATCCCTGGCTCCCTCCACCCTTCTTCAGGTGACCTGTCTTCCAGAAATATTACTTTCTCGACTGCAAACCTGAATGGCCAAGGAGGACCCTTTCAGCACTCTGCGTATGATAAATACCCAGCTGGGGCCTGACCCGCACAGGAGAGGGCTCACCTCCTCTCTCTTCCGGCCATGAGGCTTTAGCTAACGGGGCCCAAGATTACGTTACATAAACATTTTTGGAATCAAGATCACAGTGCTGCAACATTAAGCCTGTGGCCAACTAAAACCCCCAGTTCTTTTTTTCACCAGAGCTCTTCAATGCGGTGCTTACATAAGTGATTTTTTTAAAGCCTAAATGTAGAATTTTATATTTATTCCTTTTAAATGTCATCTTGTTGGGTTTTGGCTCATTATCCTTGCTTTTCAAAAGCATTTTGAATCCTGACTCTCTCACCCAAAATATTGCCATCCTTTCCAACTTGGTCTCTCTAGAAAAGTCAGATGAGCTCCCATCCCTATCTCCTCCACGCCACCCTCCCCAGTCCTCTGCATCCCGGGGCTGTGCCCCGTCCTCCCTGCTGGGCTGGCACACTCACCAGGGCAAGCGATCCTCCTTCTACGCCTGGGTCTGTCCCCCAGCCCATGTCCACCTCAGAACAGGGGAGAATGGAAGCCCGAACGGTAGCTAACCAGAGACGGGCTCTTGGCACTGTAAGCCCAGCCCTGACATAGCCTGGGGACATGGGTCACGGTGGTGTTCCTCCTGTGAAGGCTGGAATAGGAAGTGTCTAGAGGGGGAAGGGCAGAAGAGGCAGAAGGGACACTGGGGAGAGAGGTCTCTGAGGAACAGAGGGAGGTGCTGGGGGTACGAGGAGAAGAGGAGTAGGTAGGGACCTGTCTGCAAGGACAGCAGCTGTCTTGGGGCTGGCAGGAGAGTGGCAGGGGCTAGAGCGCAAGGGAAGGTCCTGGGTGAGCAGGGGAAGGAGCAGGAGCTAGAAGGAGCATGGGTGGGGTTGGGGTGGGGGTGGGAGGATGGGGGCTAGTGAAGAAGCAGTGGGGAGCACTGGGGCTGAGGGTGGTGAGGCAGAGGCTCGGCAGGAAGGGCCAGGAGACGGGTTTGAGGGCACCAGCCTGGGAAGCCCACAGAGGCCACAGCTCAGGCCACAGCTCACGGCCCTGTGCTCACCTGCTACACTTCTCTCATCCTCCCGCTTCCAGATGTCAAGCCTCACAGCACCTCATCTGTGCCCCTGCACTGGGCCCTCCCACCTGCTCCTGAACCCTGCACTGGGTGGGCCTGAGTTCCTGACCTCACAGGGGCGTTGAGCGCTCCTTCTGGAAAGGGGCCAGAAATGCTAAGACCCTCTATTTCCTTTGTCAGTGGAAGCTGAGAGTCTTTCGATGGGTGGGGAAACAAAGACGGAAGTGAGACCGGCTGTCAGCCTGCTCCTAAGGTCCAGACTGGGCATACTCTGGGCCATGGGAGAGCCTTGCCACCAAGTTCAGGGGCGTGGACCTCTCCACAGTGGGAAACCCTCGAACTTACCGTCTTTGCGCTTCTGGAACATCAAACCTTGCAGCGCACTGCCCCGCCCTATCCACTGACCTCCCCGCGACCACGGACAGCTGTCTTAACCTCTCCTCGGGCAGCCTCCCGTCTGCAAACGAGCACGGAAGTGACCTTCGCTAGGACCAGATGAACCCGGAGGCCCCGTGCGTCGGGGCCGCGCAGCACACGCTAGGTGCGTGTGGGCTCCGGGCCTGTGCAGCTCCCGGTGACCACCCCCCAGGGCACACACCCCCAACCCCCGCCAGCCGCACCCCGCCCCGCCCCCGCCCCTCCGCACCCGTGGCTTCCACCATGCCCTCCAGGATGACCACGATCTCGAAGTCGTCCCTCTCCAGGGCGCGGCGCGACGCCTCCCAGAACGGGCTGGCGGCGTCGATCTCGTGGCTGATGACGAGCGGCGACACGAGGAAGAGGCGGTCGTCGCCCGTGTCGAAGCCCACGCTGAGGTCGGTCTGGTGCAGCGGGATGAACTCGCCCTCCAGCGTCTGGCGCGAGCGGATGAGCTTGGCGCGGATGGAGGCCTCGACGATGTGGGACGAGCGCAGGTCGCCCACGCGGAACATGAGGCAGAGGCGGCCGTCGCGCAGCGACACGACGGCGTGCGACGAGAAGACGAGCGTGGCGGCGCGCTTGTTGGGCTGCGAGATCTTGACGAACATGCAGCCCACCATGAAGGCGTTCACCATGGAGCCCAGGATGGCCTGCAGCAGCAGCAGCGCGATGCCCTCGGGGCACTGGTCGGTGATGACGCGGTGGCCGTAGCCGATGGTGGTCTCCGTCTCGATGGAGAACAGGAAGGCGGCCACGAAGCCGTTGAGGTTGTTGACGCACGGCGTCCACGCCGCGTCGCCCAGGTGCTCCAGGTCGCCGCGGCCGTAGGCCACGAGCCACCAGATGGCGCCGAAGAAGAGCCAGGTGAGCGCGTAGGCGAGCACGAAGAAGAGCAGGCTGAGGCGCCACTGCAGGTCGGCCAGCGTGGTGAACAGGTCGGTCAGGTAGCGGCCCGGCTCGCGCACGTTGCCCTGCTGCACGTTGCAGCGGCCGTCCTTCTCCACGTAGCGCTGGCGGCCGCGGCGGCGCGGGGGCTCGCGGCCCGGGGAGCGGGGGGCACCGGCGCGCGCCATGGCGGCGGCCGCAGGGGGCCTGCGGGACCGGAGCGCGCGGCGCCGTCAGGCTCGCGGGACCGCGCGGCTCGGAGGGTGCAACCCCCCACCCCCGCCCCGGCCGCCTGCGACCGCCGCCCCCACGCCTCCCCGCCGCCGCCCGCGCCCCCCTCCGCAGCCTCCGGCCCGCGGACACGGCCCCCCGCCCCAGCGCCCCCGCGCGCGCCCTGGCTGCGGCCTGCGCGGGCCCCGGACCCGCTCCGCCGAACTTCACCGTGACCCCCGCGCGCGCTCCTCTCCCTTCCTGCCGGCGCCCCGCGCGCGCTCAGCCCCCTCCCACAGCTGCCTGCCCTCCCGCAGCCCGCGGGGAAGACGCGCGGGGGGCGGAAAGGCAGCGCGACCTCTCCAGCCGCAGGGGCTGAACAGCCCCGCCCGAGGACGTGCCCACTGCAAGTCCTCCCGGAGCACTAGACCCCTCCCGCTCATCGCTGCTGGGTGTCTGCCCCCCGGCCCCTGGGTTCTTTCCCCCGAGGAGGCAGCCTGGAAGGGGGTTGGGAGGGCGGCAAGAGAGGAGACCCAGGCGGACAGCCCGGGCGCGCAAAGTTCAGCTGGAGTTAGGCTCGTATCCCCGGGGAGTCTCCTGTTCCTCCTGAGCCCTCTTCCACCAGATCCGGCGAAGCACTAAGCCCCCACATTTATCGCCCCACTCCCTCCGGTTTTTTGCCGGCAGCCTCCCACTCCTCACTGACTACCCTAAGCACAGCCCCCACCCCCAGCCATCTGCCCCACAGCTCACGTTCCAAGGGAAGCCCACCTGAGTTTGCTTCAAATTCTTCCCCCAGAGGAGCGATCTGAGCTGCAGTGTACCCTGGGGGAGAGGTCCAAGAGCCCCTCCCTAGACCCCAGACCCCTATAAGGAAAGGTTTAGAAGAAGGACTTGGTTCTCTCCAGCCTTCCCTTCTTCCTGGGGGTTGTTTTGTCCTCCCACTCCAAGGAAACCTGGGTTGGCTGGGGTGGGGGAGGGTGGGGTGGACGGGAGGAATGTGACAAGGACCACAGATGGCCTGGATGTTTGACCAGGTCCTGGGGAGACACCGCCTGGATATGCAACTCCAAACCTAGGTCTCCAGAATTCATGTTCTGGAATGAGGTGCTCTGCAGCGAGAGCTTGTGAAGCCGTGTGTGTGTGTGTGTGTGTGTGTGTGTGTGTGTACTAGGTAGATGGCAGGAGGAAAACCCAAAAAAGATAGCTTGGTGCTTAGGGACGCCCCCCCCCCCATTTATGTTGCAAGAGGAGTCAGGGGACACCGGGTCCAATGAAGATTAGGGTCTTCTCCTCCCCCAAAAGTGGGCTTCCCTTGCCCTCCCTGCAGCCAGGGATGTCCTCTAGAAGTTCTCTCTATGCACACGGACTGTTCGGAGACCCCGAGTCATGCAGAGAAGTCCCTGCGTCCCACTTACCCTACTGTCAGCCCCAGGTGGGCTTCCAGATGTTTTCCCAGGGTCTTAGGTAATCTGACCCCCAATCCACCTGCTTAGACAGATCTGTCTTCCCAGGGGTGGGAGAAACCCCACAGTCTGATCACTGCCAGATCTGTCTTGCTCTCCTTCGCCCCAGGCATCTAAGTGGGCCTTAGTTTGATCGTGTCCCCTCCCGTCTTCCTGAGTGGAGGCCGCATGTTTCTCAGTGGGGACGTAAACGTGTGAACTAGCCTTGATTTCGGCACCTTCCCTCCGAAGATCCCTGTTCCCCCAGCCTGCTCCTTCTTAGTTCTTGTGCATGCTGTGAGCCCTCTCCGGAAGACCCCAGTGCCACATTTTCCTGGATCGCCCTTTCTCCCCCTAGGGAGTGCTGGCCAGGAAGAGGGTTTATTTTGTGGGAGGGGATCTGGTGAAAACTCCCTCAGGAACAAGCTGTTCCCAAGCCCCCACTTGCCTTGGATTTAGGGGCCCAAACCCAAGTCCCCCGCAACTCAACTCACAGCGTGTGGAGAGGAGAGTAGCCAGCAGCAGAGACCCCTGGGGCGTAGCGTCCATGCCCCTGACACCACCCCTTCCCCGGCCCCCGTGGAGGGTGGGAGCCACAGACACCGTTGTTTCTCCTACATGCAGCGGCAGCTCTGACTAGGACCTGCTATCTGTGTCATCCCCACTTCCCAGGCTCCCCTGCTCCTCTTTTGTTTCCACAGCAACCAGTCTGGGGACAGCTCTGGAGCATCCCCCTCCCCTCCCTGGTCCTGGGTACCACTGGAGGCTGAGCCACACGCCATAGCTATTTTTAGCCCAAGTCCCTCCTCCTGGACAACTCAGAGCTCGCCTCCTCACCCCCTCAGGAAAAAAAGAAAAGAAAAGAAAAGCCGGCACGCTCTTCCCTAAGAGGCTTCTTGCTCTGAGAAAATACGGGCCGATGTGTTTGGGAATAAGGCCTTTGGTCTCCCGGGGATTCGGAGGGCCCCCTGGGAGCTGGCAGCTCACGACCTCCAGCAGGGGCCTCTGGGTGGGAGCTCTTCTCTCCAGCAGGCACCATCCCGTCTCCAATTTTTGAAGAGGGCGCCCTCATCGAGAAGGAGGTAGCTAGAGAGGGAAAAGATTCACCTGAGGAAGGGAGGTGGGGTCAAGTGTTCTAATCTTTGTCACTGATTTGTAATGTGACCCAAAGGATTGGCTTCACTTCCTTGAACCACAGCTGTTCTGTTTTTCACAGGGCAAGGACACGTGCAAATATCCCCTTTCAGCCTGCTTCCCCGGGCGTGAAGATCAAACAAGGCAATAGAAATAGAAGGGCTTTAAAGTGTATTTGTTAACAGTGAAAAGTCTAGAAACAACCCAAACTTCCGACGGAGAGAAGAGCCCAGGTTAGGGCTTAAAACCGTTCATCCTACAGACTTCCGTGCAGGCCAAGGCCTGGGCAGTGTGCTGGGTGGGGGGTGGTTACAGAAATGACTTGGTCTCTGCACACCTGGAGCTCACGGTCCAGCGGGGGGACAAAGACGCGCAGACACGTCACAGTAACGTCACTGCCGGTCATTCATCGAGCGGTGGCTGTGGACTAGAGGACTCATCTGACAGCCCACACAGGGACCCCACGAGCTGGGTCTGATCTTCTCCATTTACAGATGAGAAGCTGAAACAGAGAAAGATGATTTGCCAGATGTCACAGAGGCAGAGACGGTGGTTAAACTCACCCCACTGTGTCGCTGCCAGACCGCGGGCTCGTCACAAAACCACGGGACCTTGGGAAAGCAATAGCTGTGATGTGGGGACATAATCAGCTGCTATGTTCACATATGAAAATGTGCGCGGAAACACAGTCTTGCAGGAAAAAGCAGCACGTACAAACATTCTTGTAAGTTGATCATCACCACAGAAATAGGTGTCAGGACCCCGATAAAAATCAGAGCAGAATTTGGAGAAATACGAATATTTCAGTGCTCATTTTCCCCAGGGAAATCATTAAAAGCAGAGAGTGGTATACAAACGGCCGTTGTTATGACTGGTACTATCATACCCAACATACTGATGTGTTCTTCTCCAGATTCCTTTAAGTTGGAATAAGAAGATAGGAGCCAGAGGAGAAGGGAGATGTTGAAATGGACACTAGAGGGTTAGAAGCTGCTGGAATGATCTGCTAAGTTGGAAAAAGTAGTTCTGTGTAATATAATCTCAGGAGGCAGTGATCTGGGTTCAAGTCTCAACTCCGTCCACTGCTAGCTGGGTGACTTTGAGCAGGTTGCTTAACCTCTCTGAACAGTTTCTTCATCCAAGAAATGAAAATAGCTCTATTGTCCATCTCCTGGGCATTGTCCTGAGGCTTGCATGAGGCAATTCCTGGCACCCTAGAAGTACTCAGTAAGTGCCAGCTGGATCTTCCTTCTCCTCCTTGTTACCCTCATCCCAGGCATCCCCTGAGATCCCCACCCACCCTGGGCTGCCTTCCTCTGCTCTGGTGCCACCTAGTGAGACCTGCAGAGGGCACTCCTGGTCCACTGCCCTCCTCTCCCCAGCACTCTTGCCCATGTTTCTTGTTCCAAGTGGAAATACCAAGTTTTCAGCCCAAGATTGGCATCAGGAGGGCTGTTAAAGTCCCAGTCACCATCCCCGTCTCCTGGGTCTGGCCCTGTCACCTGAGCCTTGGGACTGCAAGCCTGCCCTTCTCTGTCCTGCCAAGCGGCTGCTCACGTTGGTTCTGCTGTGCCAGGAGCTCAGAGAGACGAAACCAGACCCCTGGGCAAAAGCTCATTTGCATAGAACTGGCCCCATTTCTTGAGGGTGGCGGTGATGGGGCTGGCAGGGCATTCAGAGGGTGCCCAGCAGGCCCCGGCCTCATTCTGGCTGACCACCAGCCCGCCTCTGACTTACCCACCCCTGCAGGTCCTGGGACTTCACCCGGCCTCTATCTTCAGTCCCTTGTTTATCACTGAACTTGAATAGAGGGAGGGGAAAGAAAGTTTTCTTAGGTTCCAGGGTACAGAAAAATAGGCAAGATCCCAGCTTTCAGTTTTGTGATAGAGCAAGCAACTTTACAAAGAATTAGTAAAACATGTCAGTTTGGAACTTGAGAATGTTGAGGGTGGGAGGGCCACAGCTGGAGCCACATCGGTGGTCCATAAGGAACCTTGTTACTAAGCAGAAAAAGGAGCCGGCTCTGGGCAGGTTCATTCCTTATGGCATGTAGCTTGGAGAGCAAGTGGTACTTTGGAGCAAAAATAAAAATAAAAAGGGGAATCCCTCTAGTGGGCACAACTTTGAGCCAGGGTGTAAGGATTGGCAAGGTAGATGCAGTTCAGTTCTCAACTTGCCCCCTCTGTGAGTGCCTTTGTGCAGTCCACAAACCGTGCAGCTGTACGTGGGAGCCCGGGGACTAACCAATCTGGGAAGGTTTCCTTGAGCGAGATCATGAGACTTCTCTGGTAAAATCTTGGAGGTGGGAGAGGAAGTATGATGGGAAAACAGGAGATGGTTGAGGATATGGGTTTAATGGAACAGGGGAGGCCCATCTGGCAGAAACTATAATAATTTCC